ACTAATATCACATTCTTCCTTCGTTGGCATTCTTCTTTCCGCGCAGCTGACGATAATAATAGTGCTGGGAATCATCTGTCTTCATGAAATTCTAACTTGGATTATTGAACGATTTCTGGTCAAATGATCAACATCGCACAAAATTATCGCAAGAAATACGGTATCACCGATCGACATCGCGTCATTTTCTTGACCCTTAACGGTGCTTGAAACCTGCAATTATGTTTGCAATATACACACACGTTTCAATACAAACATGCTATCACACTAAATAATCAATAGTAATCAATCAAATGTGAACGCTTTCAAAATACTAAAATCGAATTCAAAACGAACCTGAATGCATCTCCATATATCGTATACACTTTCCCCTCGAAAACAAAACGGAATACGGTTCCTTGCTTTGGAATCACTAAATTTCGAGATTAATTATTTCATACAATTCATCTACTAAATGATCAATTAACTTTCAAACAATGCCAACGATTTCGCTGAATAATTACAAATATTATTTGATAAAACGAATGTAAACAATACTCTGTGATAAAACTCACCGATAAGTCGATCATCTTTTGTGATCAACTGAAAAGTCTGCCGAGTCTCTCGAGCTACGATCCCATGTAGACCTATCTGTAAACATAATCTATCAAGTCAACGACTATACAATAATAATAATAACAATAATAAATACATCAAATCAAGAAATTAACCTGAGACGGATTATCGGCATCAGAAACCATCAGGAGAGAGCCGTGGAAATCAACCTTGAGAATCCTGTCGTCAGTTTGTTTATTGCTATTACTCAGAATCGTTGAGAAATACTCGCACCACATTTCATATAACGGCTCGAATTGTTTATATCTTCAATGAACAAAACAATAAATCATTTCGTGATTAGTAACTATCACATCAATTTGATTAATAATCATTTCATGATTAATAACTAACACACATCAATACGAAACATTCATAAGAACCACCACTCCTAGAATAAACAAGCCAACTTCTTTTATCTTAGTCCCGGTTTTTTGTGCCCTTGATACTTCGTAAAACTTTTCAAATAAAACAGAAATATTCAAAAACCCGTTTTAGCCAACTCCATATGAATGTTTTACCTTATCAGCGAATTTTACCACGTGCCATTTATAAAAGCATAGAGCAGAGGCCAATTTCATAAAGAAACATATTTAATAATAATATATTTATTTGAATTCATATATAGAAAATTTATATTAATTAATATATTGTTCATTTTAAAAGTTAAATTTTCTTCTCCTGGGTCTATTTTGATTTTAACTTATCTTGGGAAATGGTCTTTATTTTAACTCCACAAACATCAAATGACAATCAACAAACGATACAACAATGAATTCATCAAGCAATCCACCACTAATATTCTTATTTTCTGCTACAATTTATGAAATGTATGAGGGCACTTTTCAGTTGTTTTCGTTCCTCTAAAATCAAGTAACTTTTCAGAACAATTCTAAAAATACAAAAACCCAACCCACTCACTTCAACACCTTCAAATCGTCATTCCTCAAACGACTTCTCACAAAATTCTTCAACGTCTTTCGTTTCACCTTCTTATCGTGCTTGATTTTCTTCTCCAGAATGAACGTTTTGTACTGATTCATTGCAGTTGATGACGACGGTTGTGCGCTCATCGTCGAATTATTGTTATATTTCTGAATTATTTACTCTTTTGAAAAGATGTTCTTCCTTCAGATCATACACTGGCAGTTTACGAACGACCATAATCACTTAATCATCTGCAAGGAACGACCCAAATTCATCACCATTTCATTCATTACGCTCTATCTATCTTAAACATCGTTTCAGTCACTCACTTATTTTGTGATACGTTAAGTTACATTGTTATTATCCCATACTGTCATACCTACCATATTAAAGTTATTATTAAAATCTTCACAATAATAATCCTTTTATCCGCAATCCTATCACAACTTCCTCCTATCAACTACATAATATCGAATTTACTCGAACCAATGTCATTGGGTCTTATAAAAACCCTTCTCAACTGATTCAAACAATTCAATCTCAACTAATTCATTACTATTGAACCTTAAACCTTAATGCTCATCATCAATCCGTCGTCTATCCATTCGTTCAACATTATTATTATAATTACTAATCTGAAAACGAGCAATAATCATTCAATCGATACTCAAAATGGT